TTTTTTTTGTGTTCGACGGCATTTGATGCGAAGATAATGCGAAGAAACGATATTAGCCATGAGTGAGAGTTTTTGTTCCAAGCTAGAAGGGAATGAGCTCGAGGGCGGATAATCAATTTTTTTTCGCAGGAAGGGTTTTTGCCAAGGTCGAATGTGTGTTGAGAGAATCCGCGACGGATTACGGGGGTCATATGTGACCCGACGAATATTTTTGGTTGCTGGTTTTTCTCGTTCCCAGCACGCCAAGCACCTCTACTCCCTATTCGCCGCGCTGCGGTTTGACTAGTTCCGAAAACCAAAAGGATGTGTCCCTTCCGCTCGGCGACTACTGGGAAGGACGGGAGGGAGGGGGGTCATGTCTGTGAAAGGAGATGAGTGTGTCGAATTGCGGGTTTTAGGAGAAAATGTAATGTCTCAACGCCATTTCATGAGAAAGTTATACAGAGGAGTTGAGAGCGGTGTAGTTCGGCTTGGTGGGGGGAACCGAATAATACTCATTTCTGGGACCAGAGAGGCTCACTCAAACAGTTTTGAGGCTTTACAGGCGTTTACAGGTATGACCAGAGTGAGGCCTGTTCGTCAGCATGAGTTAGCAAAAGTAAAAAATGTCCCCTCGAAGCGGAACACCACCGTTGAGAACTGTTCACAAGTTGGCAGTGTGGTTCGGTATACTGGCAGTAATTGACAGAGTGCCCCTCCATATTCTATTAACTCCCAAGGAAGTCAAATATTGAAGCGCATATCCTTCACTTGTTAAGGATGACGTGGTGAATATGGGTTCAGCAGAGTTGGAAGCGGCGACGATAGCCCGACGAAAAGCTCTTGGGAAACAGCTTAGCGTATCTCCTACCAAGAAGGTTTGGCATCTAACTAAGTCCTACAGGGAATCCCTGAGTGTTAATTTTGGCCCATTCTTGTTTATTTTACATTTTTAAGGTGAAGAAGTCAGCTGCCGGTGAAGAGGATAAGGTGCTCAGTCATCCTCAACGAACTCGTCGAAGTGAAATCCCCATGACAGCCTACATCGCGGCTCGAATAGAAGCTGATGAGATGCGAAGAATGTACTCGGAAGACAGGCAGTTTGTCGTCGGTGATGACAAGGTTTGTTTTTTTCGCCCCTCCTTTCACTTTTTGCTCCTCTTCAAGTAAATGGCTCATCCCTCAAGGATGTCATGAAGTGCCTAAAAAATCAGCTATGCATAAGCTTCTCAAAAATCCATGGAAGTTGTCGTAGAAATCATTCCCATTTCTGGTTTTTGACATTCATGTTACACCAGCTGCCGACTTGTGACAATGGGCTGTCAGTCCGCTGTCGTTTGTCATCTTATGGAGCTTTAGTGCCTCCCACGTCGCTACGAATTTGCTGAGTTTCAAGCACCCCATCCGATGCCTTAGCCCTTCATCGTAGCACTTTTAGGAGATTCGTCTTTTTTGTATACTGAAATTTTTTCTTCAAAAACTCAAATTTTGTAAGTTTAAATTAGTAAAGTCAGCTTGAAGTTGGGTGTACTTTCAAAACCTTTCGGCATAATAATCCTTTTACGACCCCACTTCTTGTGATCCAGCCTGGGTTTTCGTCGAGATCTCTTCCTGGGGCAAAAAAATTTGTTACAAATAAAAATTAATTGACTATGCTGAAAAACCGACTAAATGAGAAACATTTAGGGTGGGGGGGATGGTCGAAAGCAAAGTGGTAGCTCAGCTTCCGCTAAATTTCCCACAGATCCTCCCTGGAGAGGCTTAATGCGGTGGACACGGATACCAACCACATCTATTTAGTCCAAAAATGCTGATGATCCGCGCTACAAGTTATAACTCCAAAGTACCTTGGAACACCAAATTTGCTAGGAGAATTGTCGCTGGGGTAGTTTGATCTCCCCCACCCCCCTCCTGTTGGTGATAGTTTCACCTTTGGCACACGTCACAGGCACCAGCTTCGAAACAGGCCGATGGTGCTGACGCTCGTAGTGCGAGCGTGTCAGTCAGGTTCCGTGTCAAACATGAGACTCTTAGATAATCAACACTCCCCCCTAACCAGCGAAATTTGGAAATTTGTGGTCAAATTCACTACGGTACTAAGAACCCTAATCCTGAAAAGGGTAAGGTCCTAAAAGGTGATTAGTGCCAGCAGGGCATGTCCCGCAGGTCGGAAAAATTTCTGCAAGCCCCCCCCCCTTCAGAATTTCAATGGTACAACTGCCCCTTCCTTTTCTTCACATCTCACCCACCATTCTACTTCCTTCCACTAATCCGTTTTATTGCAAAAGTTCTGCAGAACTGTCGTGAGCGAAGGGGGGGGGTGGGGGAGTGTGGACAACGCGTTTGAAAGGGGAAAAGCAGGGAAAGTCAGCAACTGGAAGAACGTTTCTTCTCGAAGGCGTATACAACGCCTACCCCCTTTCAGCGACCAAATACGACCCTTACGATCCACGTCGCTGGAAACTCCCCTACTTAGGAGTTGTCTTGGTGTCCTTTTGCGAACATTGCGAACAGCAGCTGTAAAATGGACCCCAGTCTCGCATTTTAATCGATTTCACTTTCTCAGAACCCCACAACGACAGGTGGCGACAGGTCATGCCAGGATGTCCAGCGGAAATTCCTTGAGTGAGAGGAATGGAGCAAGTTCTTGTCAATCTGCACTTTTTCCCTCTAGCTGCTGGTAGCTCTAATTTGGTTCTGGATGATTTTATTGGGCAGATTTTAGCGTCGAGCCGTCTACACCCGTGACTCTCTATCCCCTTATAGCCTCTCGATTCGCAACCGCTCTCATGACGCGTTCATAACTCGCATCCGACTGCTTTTATTGCCCGCTACGAGTTTGTGAGAAGTGACAAATCGTAGCAGGCAATAAATGTTTTTTTTCTGAAATTTAATTTTTTAGATGTTTACTCATTAGAAATTTGATCGCGTGTGGGGGTTTTGCCGGGAAGCTTAGATATTCCTTGTTTTTATTCTGCGCTTGCTGAGTCATGCTGTTTCTCCACACAGTTGAGTTTCTTCGCCATTCTCCATCTTTTCTCAATTCCACCTTGCTGTCTGGTCGCTAGGATGTTTATCATTTCTAGACATTAGCAGACCTTAGGCTAGATTCAAAACCTGCCTTTTTCTGTTGAAGGTCCTCTAAAGTCCTGCCATCCTTTGCAAGGCCCTGCTCACAGCTCGACACCTTTTTGGTAGAGCTTTTACAAATTTTGTCTTCAGTAGAATAGAGACTGAACATGATGATTTCCTCTCA